CTTAGGTCGTAAGGCGCAGATGTCGCAACTTAGCTTTAAACCACAACACAAATGCCAATCGCCCCTTTGGGGTAAAAAGAAAAATTACTACCCAGCGGGGAATCGAACACCCGTTATACACGTGAAGGGCGGAATACTTAAAACTCTACTACTGAAGACTGAATACTTTAGGTCAGGTATCGCAGCCTAGCTGTAAACCACAACACAACGTGCCAACCGCCCTCTCGAATGCGAACGAATATTACCCGTGACATGAACATTGAGCATCACTTCACCGCTATCGCAGACTAGCTGTAAACCGATCAATTGAACGGAAAAAAGTGTAGATACTGTAGCTTAGCTATAAATCACAACCCAGTTAGGCCCCCCCCCCCCCCAAAAAAAAAAGTTATATCACCCAGCGGGAAATCGAGCTCCTATCACCCAAGTGAAAAAAGCGAAATGCTTACAACTAACTACACTACTGAAAACTCAAGCAATCAGTGGAAATGAAAGTATATAATAACAATGTGAATGTAGGTGTTGCACAGTCAAAGGTGGCCAATTCCTTAAAAATAAATCCGGGCGGCCTACCAAACAAATATTGATTTGACCGTTGATGGAGCTACGTAGTTCGTGGTTTGTGCGATTTTATGACAAAAAATAACGCTTTGAGTCAGAGGCAACGTTGTGTAAAAAATTGAAAGCAATCGGTTCAATAGTTTACGAGTTTAGAGCTAACGACACTGAAAAATTAAGATTTTTATTAATATAGATTTAAAAAAGCCTCGTCCCTGTGTCGGACGCAATTTTTCGTTATTTTGAAACCCCACCCCGGCTTTTTCCGTGGGGTACAATATAGCCCATCAGTTTAACGCGGTTTTTGCGACCTCTTCAATGGGGATCGTCATCCGCATGGGGTGTTTATCGCTCAGTGTGATGTCCTGGTGGGGTAAAATTTATTTACTTACTATTCAGTGCAAAGATTGTCTCTTTCGGATGTATGGACTGTTCGTTAAATTCCCAATATTATGTTGCAGTTTCTTCACAGTCACCTCCGTCTTAACTGTTTTAACACATAAACACAAACCACAACAGTGGTACTTGTCTGAAAACTAGTACCGGGAAGGAAATGCTGCGAGACGTAAAGGTGGTCGGCGGTATGACGACCACGTTATCATTCGTTGCTGATCGATCCCTAAAATATCATGATAAATGATCAGGTCTGGCAGGGCCACTGAAAAGCTGGTATTCCGTTCCTTGGGAGCCATGGTGGTGTAGCGGCTAGATGCTTGCCTGCGGGTCGGACGGTTGGGGTTCAGACCCTTATGCAGCTGGACAGTTTTCACAAAATGACCTTGTCTTCTAGGTCGACAAGGCCTTAAATGAATTCCTACCAGATACAGACTTGGGAAGTAAAGGTACCAACTGGTCTGTAGAATATAGGTCTAGCCCTATATACCCTATACACCTTAAGAGGCGGAAAAGGGTCCCTTCTTAAAGTCTTCTTCTTAGCATTCTATAATTGTAATGTCCAGCGGAACGTTTTAGTTTTTAATTTACTTTAGTCTTGTTCCAGAACTGTAGTGTTGTGTGCACGTCCGTTCTACAGATCTGACTTACTTGCATGCAGACTGTTACTCTCTAGCTCCCTTCACCCCCAAAATTACTATAGCTATATTTCATTTCTCCCAATACCTCTACTGACTTGTTAGATCCTACAAAGTTCCAGCGCTTCCTGTAAATAATATAGCCACAAAAACCGACCAACCATGGATACTTGGAATGGTTAGTATTACTACCATTGCAGCACTCTGGTCCAGGGCTGTGTCGTGGTTTGAGACTTAGATGAGGCTGCATCAGGCGGCACCATAAAGGGGTGCAAAAGCAGAGAATTCAAAATAAAATTTGAAGATCAAAGAGGCAACATCTCAAAGACTTGCATCACAGTGAGAAAATCTACCGATTCGGGCAGATCTGTTAGATCTCTAGAGCATAGGAGACTTTGCCACAGCTCTACAGGCTGAAAGAAAATGACCCTTTTTCCCGCTTAGAGCGTATTCAACATACAGGGCTATATCTATACTTTATAGACAAGTCGGAACTCAATAAGTGATGTGGTCTTACGCCCGCCAACTTTACTTCCTATGTAGTTTACCTGATACTCATTTAAGGCTAGGTCGACCGAACAAAATCAGAATCTGAACCCATGACCTTCATATCTGCAGGCCAGCGTCTAGCCGTTATACGATGACGGCTTTTGTTTGTTAGTGTATATAATAGGAGAATGTGTGACATCTGTATGTCTGGTTTTTGGAAAAGAAAACCAAAATTCGTCACGTTCAACCGGTTCTGATTTTATGATATCTCTTCTCTCTCAGTTTACACGGGCTTGGGACCGTCACGTGACATCATATATATCACGTGGCCTGATTAAAAAGATGTGAACCCACTACTAGTTCAGATGGCAGTGCCATGCCAGGTTAAGTTAGTAGTAACATGTTAGTAATTAGTTAGTAATAGTGAGGTTAGTATTAGCATGTTAGTAATTGGTTAGTCAACAAACAGTGTCAGTGTTAAATATTAGTGAACATGCAACATCAATTTTAATCTGTAAAGATGTTATGTAGTTATAAAACACCAGCTCATGTTTGCAGATATGGGAACTTACACAGGGTATCTCCATGGCCAAGTGTTTAAGTCGTTTGCTCCGCTCTTTGTAGGTCGCTGTTCGTTTTATAGACTGGGTTGTTCAATTCGCTAGTGCCATTTTTTAAAGAGATTCCTTGGGGTTGTTTGAGCCACTGAGTTCGTGCTTCGTTCGCTGCTCTTGTCAGTTGGTTAACCGTTCTCCGGAGAGCGACCGAGCCTATAGGATAAAAACCTGGAGCTATGAAGTCGATTGTCTCGACTTTCAACTTTTACTATACACATCTGTGAGTGGTTTTGTGAAACAGATTTTACATAAATTACATGAAATAACCTACACGATCATTTTACCATGGGACCTAATAATTACTCCTAAATGTTTAACTTTGGTCAGTTTAGAACATATCTTCTTTAGTATTCTATAAAACATTTTATTAACTATCTCAGTAATGTTAAAACTAAAGGACAACCATGTTAAAAATTTTTTCTACTGTCGTGAAATATTTTAACATTTTCTTTTCCGTATATTCTTAAAAATTTAACTAACAAATAAACTTTAACTGTTTTAATTTTCACAATATCGCCTTAGTGTTGTAAAAAAATTTTTTCAGAGAATTTAACTTTAATTAACCCTCTGTCTCAAAAACAAGCAAATACATACTTAAGTAAATTAGGGTTAGCGAAAAGTTATAAATAAAACTGTAAAGACAAATATTGTTAAATATTTAGTTAAAATTAATATTAAAACGAAATCGGAAAAATGCTAATGAAATGAATACTTGCCGAATGTCAGTGAAATGTTTACTTACAGCCCGTCGATGAGATGTCCGTGGATGTCAGAGTCGTGCATGCTGGCCAGTACCAATCTCGCTGTACGTTTTATGTCTGAATCGTATTATACGCAAGTAACCAAGCACCAACCTCGAGGTTCCGGAGGAGCCAGCAGCACACTGGAGTCGTTGAGACACTCGTAGACTTTGCCTGATAGTGTTAGTAATATAAAAATACATGAAATAACACATAATCTTTAACATATTTTACCAAGTGACATAATAATTTCGCAGTTTAACTAACGTCAATTATAAAATTTAGTAGCATTTAATACACGATTATTGAAACTATTTCCTCAAAATGAAAACTAAAATATTAGCTGCGTTAACATTTCTAGCCGCTGACATTCAATATTGTAATAATATTGATCCAAATAATGCTCTTTACTATTTAATCTAAAAAACAAAAATTAATATTTAAATTTTCGGGAAAATCCCTGTAGCATAGCTTTTAGTTTATTTTTTTTTTTTTAAGTTTAATTAAATTATATTTCTTAAGATTATGCATACATAAGAGAGAGAGAGAGAGAGAGAGAGAGAGAGAGAGAGAGAGAGAGAGAGAGAGAGAGAGAGAGAGAGATAAAATGACACAATTAATACAAATTCAGTATATTTTAAAAGTTAATCTGGTTGGACACAGAAATTATAGTTAATAAAAATAACAAAGCATGCGTTGAGAAATATGGTTAATTCTAATAATAAAATGGAAAAATAGCACTAAAATGTATACTTACAGAAAGCCAGGTAAATGTATACTTACAGAAAGCCAATAAAAGGTATACTTACAGACTATCAATCAGGTCCCTGTGGATATCAGCTTCGTGCATGTTGGCCAGTATTGACGCCGCTGTACGTCTGATGTCGGGATCATATTGTACGGAATTAGCCAAGCACCAGCCTTGAGGTTCCGGAGCAGCCATCAACATGTCGACGTCGTCTAGACACTCGTAGACTGTGTCTGATGTCGGTTTGCTCTGGAACATCATGCACCAGAGAACCACGCCCAGAGAGTACACGTCCACCTTGCATGGATCCACAAACATCCGGCACTTTAGTTCAGGCGCACGATAACGCCTGGTGCCCCCAATGTCTTTAGCAAAAACAATTTTGGCTCCAGGAGGAAGGGACATCGATATTCCGAAATCTCCCAGAACTGGGTCGTTGTTCTCGTTGATGAAAATATTGTCCGGCTTGATATCGCAGTGTACTACTCTCTGTTTATCATTGAGATAACGCACAGCACACGTCAGCTGGATGAAGTACTTGTTACACAACTCTGAGGTCATAGTGTCAAGCTTGGAGGTCAAAGTTCCGTTAGGGCAGTAGTGAGTACAGATGGCCAAGTATTCAGGACATCTGACAGATATAGTATGTTTGATGACGTGTGGGTGAGACAGTCCTCGTAAAATTCCGACCTCTCTATCAAACAACTTCTTGTTTCTAGCTCCTCCATCAGCTGTCAGCAATGACAGTATCTTCACAGCTCTCTTGTGTTTAGAAGACAGAAGTGAGGTGGCTAGCACAACTTCTCCACTCATTCCACTGCCCAGAACTGGGCCAAGTAAGAACCGATATGTAGTAAAGAAATCTCCAGCTATAGTGACCAGCGAAGGTTTCACTACAGGCAATTCCATTTCTGAACACAAACACAGTAGAGTCCACGGAGAAAATTCTCCAAATGAGAAAATACACAAGTGAGAATATAAGCAAGATCTTTCCGCCAGCGCTGTTGAAAACGTTATGGTGAAATGGGACGCTGTGTTTTGGGAGTATATATAGTAGAAGGCAGCCGATTGGTGGGCTTTGTCGGCGTCCTCGATAGATCTTTGATTGATAATATTCAATAGGCAATAATTGAGAGCTGAATCTATCAATCGTTATCTCCGACTGTATTTCTTGTGACTGGCCGCTCCCACCAGACTGGACATTGAAGTCTCAGCCGCCGCCTTGAAGTGACCGCCAAAGAACCGGGCCGATAATCTGACCAGATTGTCGCTGCTGTCCGTACCTGTGACAAAGTCCAGTGACGTAACTTTGAAATCCTGGCACAAGGGTAGCGGCGAGTGACCTACATTTGATATACTGACCCGAGTCGGCTTTTGAAGTCGAGGCAACGGGATAACAATAAGTAAATATTTGGTGCTTATCAAAACAAAGAAATCCAACACAGCGTAACTGGTTTCTGTAAAGACTTTGACGAAAGTCAAGAAAGTTCTTCAAACTGGCCTTTTCTTTAAACGACGTAAATTTACTTACTTCTGTTTTAGATTCAACTAAATTAAATATTTCCATTACATTTTGTTTTTGAAATTCAGCATTTAAAAGTATGTTATTGCTAACCCAGTTGATACAGCCACCACACTAAGAAAGTTTATTCAGTGCAAAATATATAATCACAAGCTGTGCCCTGCCACGCGTTGCTGTGGCCCCGAATGCTGTGAAATGGAAAAGAAAGAAAGTAGCTCTCAACTAACAGTGTGTGTCATAACCCTCACCCCCCTTCCTTCTCCCCTCCACCCAGTCATATCTCCCTCTCCAAAGGATTGAAAAATCATCCCTGGCGAAAGTATTAAAATAGAAATAGTTAAAAAATGAGAACTTGAAAATAATGTGTTAAGCTCTCTTAGGTAACAGTGTCTGAGATAACCCCCCCCCCCCCCCCCCCCCCCCTCAAAATAATATTTCCCACACGGATGGAATAAAAAATCATCACCTGGCGAAATTATTAAAATAGAAATAGTTAGGAAATAATAACTGTGAAATTATGTTTAAGGTCTCTCGGTTAACAGTGTCTGCTATCAACCCCCCCCCCCTCTCCCTCCACTAATCATATCATCCTCGCCTTAGGATGGGAAAGTCATCATCTGACGAAATATTGTAACTTAACTGAGCTTTGCATACGTGCCCACGCAGATACAGATGGATAGCATTAATGTGTCATGAGAAGTAAAAGTGGCCAGTGTAACAGCTACCACATCACCCATCCAGTACCAGTACTACCGCTACCACTACCCCCACCACCTTCAGAACAAAAACAAAAAACAGTCACTACTGTCTGTGCAGGTCGGGGTAACCAGAGGAGTTAGCGCTGCATAATGTTACCACGGACTGTTTAGTGTAATTGAGCTTCCAACAAAGAAAAAGAAAAAAAAAAAAAAAACTAACTCACCTAACCAGTGATGGAACCCACAGTAATAGTCCGTTCTATACTCACAAATAGCGGAAATAAAAACCCCCACCCGTCATCTCCCCTCTCCGAAGGGACGATTGTTAAATGACTTTGGCATCCGTGTCCACCCAAAGTAAACTGGACTGTAAACAGTCTTAGTTAACAGCCTCTATCATCTACGCATAGTTTATTATCGAGTGAAGCGTGCGGGGAGGATAAATGGGACTTTAATGAAATCTGATGTCTTTGGGCGAAAGGTGCAGATGTCGCAGCCTAGCTGTAAATCACAACACAACATGCCAACAGCCCTCTTGAGGGGAACAGAAACATTAGCACCCAGTGGGTAGTTGAACACCAGTCAGCCACGTGAAGGGCGGAATACGTACAAATATACTACCTAAGACTGAAGAGTTTGGGTTCGATATCGCAGCCTAGCTGTAAACCACAATACAACGATCCAACCACCCTCTCAAAGGCGAACGAAGATTATCCGTGACATGACCAACATCTTGTCGCCGCTATCAAAACCCCTAAATCGAGCGGAAAGAAGACGTAGATATCGCAGCTTAGCTGTGAACGACAAAAAAGTGCCAGGCGTTTAGTTAAATGCAAAAAAAATTTTTTTTATCGCCCAGCGGGGCATTGATCGCCAGTCACTCACGTAACACGCAAAATAGACAACTACGCTACCAAGGACTCAAGCATCTGCCCAATTATATCTCCTCTCCGAATGATTACAACCTTATTATGTGGCGAAATTGTTAAAATATAAATAGTTAGGAAATGAAAAATGTAAAAAAAATGTTTTAAGCTCTCTCAGTTAACAGTGTCTGGATTGTTGTCAAATTGAGTTTGGCATCCGTGTCCACCCAGTCAAAAATTAATAGCATTAATCTGTACTGAAAAGTAAATGTGGCCAGTGTAACAGCTACCACATAACCCATCGAGTACCAGTACTGCTGCTACCACTACCATTACCACCGTCACAACAACAACAACACCAAACTGCAACTACTGTCTGTACAGGTCGATGTAGCCAGAGGAGTTGGCGCCGCATGTTGTCCCCACGGACTGTTTAGTTTAAGTGTGTCCCCGACATAAAACTCCATCACCTAACCAGTGATGGAGCCCACAGTAAAATTCTGTGATATAAAAAAAATTGTACACTATACTCACAAATAGCAGGGGAAAAACCCGCACTCGTCATCTCTCCCTGTCCTAAGTGACGATGTGTAATTAACCTTGGCATCCGTGTCGACCCAAACCAAACTGGACCATAAGCCTTCTTAGTTAACAGTGTCTATCATTATCAAATAGTTTTTGATCGAGTGAAGCGTCGGGGGGGGGGGGAGGGGGGGGAGGCTAATGTGGACTGTACTTAAATCGGATGTCTTAGGTCGTAAGGCGCAGATGTCGCAACTTAGCTTTAAACCACAACACAACGTGCCAATCGCCCCTTTGGGGTAAAAAGAAAAATTACTACCCAGCGGGAAATCGAACACCTGTTATACACGTGAAGGGCGGAATACTTAAAACTCTACTACTGAAGACTGAATACTTTAGGTCAGGTATCGCAGCCTAGCTGTAAACCACAACACAACGTGCCAACCGCCCTCTCAAGGGCGAACGAATTTTACCCGTGACATGAACATTGAGCATCACGTCGCAGCTATCGCAGGTTAGCTGTAAACCCATCAATCGAACGGAAAAAAGTGTAGATACTGTAGCTTAGCTATAAACCACAACAAAACGTGGCAGCCACCCAGTTAGGTCCCCGCCCCCCCACCCCCCCCCCCCCCAAAAAAAAAGTTATATCACCCAGCGGGGTATCGAGCTCCTATCAAACGAGTGAAAAAAGCGAAATACTTACAACTAACTACACTACTGAAAACTCAAGCAATGAGTGGAAATGAAAGTATATAATAACAATGTGAAAGTCGGTGTTGCACAGTCAAAGTTGGCCAATTCCTTAAAAATAAATCCGGGCGGCCAACGAAACAAATAATGATTTGACCGTTGCTGGAGCGACGTCGCTCGTGGTTTGTGCGATTTTATGACAAAAAATAACGCTTTGATTCAGAGGCAACGTTGTGTAAAAATTTGAAAGCAATCGGTTCAGTAGTTTCCGAGTTTAGAGCTAACGAGATTGGAAAATTAAGATTTTTATTAATATAGATTTTAAAAAGCCTCGTCCCTGTGTCGGATGCAATTTTTCGTTATTTTGAAGCCCCACCCCGGCTTTTGCCGTGGGGTACAATATAGCCCATCTGTTTAACGCGGTTTCTGGGACCTCTTCAATGGGGATCGTCATCCGCATGGGGTGTTTATCGCTCTCTGTGATGTCCTGGTGGTGTAAAATTTATTTACTTACTATTCAGTGCAAAGATCGTCTCTTTCAGATGTATGGGCTGTTCGTTGAATTCCCAATATTCTGTTGCATTTTCTTCACAGTCACCTCCGTCTTAACTGTTTTAACACATAAACACAAACTACAACAGTGGTACTTGTGTGAAAACTAGTACCGGGAAGGAAATGCTGCGAGACGTAAAGGTGGTCGGCGGTATGACGACCACGTTATCATTCGTTGCTGATCGATCCCAGAAATATCATGATAAATGATCAGGTCTGGCAGGGCCACTGAAAAGCTGGTATTCCGTTCCTTGGGAGCCACGATGGTGTAGCGGCTAGATGCTTGCCTGCGGGTCGGACGGTTGGAGTTCAGGTCCTCATGCAGCCGGACAGTTTTGACAAAATGACCTTGTCTTCTAGGTCGACAAGGCCTTAAATGAATTCCTTCTAGATACAGACTGGTCTGTAGAATATAGGTCTAGCCCTATATACCCTATACACCTTCTTAAAGTCTTCTTCTTAGCATTCTGTAATTGTAATGTCCAGCGGAACGTTTTAGTTTTTAATTTACTTTAGTCTTGTTCCAGAACTGTAGTGTTGTGTGCACGTCCGTTCTACAGATCTGACTTACTTGCATGCAGACTGTTACTCTCTAGCTCCCTTCACCCCCAAAATTACTATAGCTATATTTCATTTCTCCCAATACCTCTACTGACTTGTTAGATCCTACAAAGTTCCAGCGCTTCCTGTAAATAATATAGCCACAAAAACCGACCAACCATGGATACTTGGAATGGTTAGTATTACCATCATTACAGCACTCTGGTCCAGGGATGTGTCGTGGTTTGAGACTTAGATGAGGCTGCATCAGGCGGCACCATAAAGGGGTGCAAAAGCAGAGAATTCAAAATACAATTTTAAGATTAAAGAGGCAACATCTCAAAGACTTGCATCACAGTGAGAAAATCTACCGATTGGGGCAGATCTGTTAGATCTTTAGAGCATAGGAGACTTTACAACAACTCTACAGGCTGAAAGAAAAGGACCCTTTCCCACGCTTAGAGCGTATTCTTCATACAGGGCTATATCTATACTTTATAGACAAGTCGGAACTCA